CTCACCCAGTAATGACACCCCAGAGAATTGGGGCTTTATTGATGCATCTGTTTATTTTGTGCTCACTTGTCCCTGATTAAAGTCTCTGGGGGTCATTAGTAAACCCGCACTCCATCTTGTACTCATTTCAGAGCTATAAAGGCCTTATTAGAATCATGACTGCAACTGTCTTTGATCCAATCATCTTTCTCCACCATAACAATAAACAAATCAGTAAAAACCAAATGAGGCTTAACTTACACATATACAAGCCAATCGTAGAATTGGGGGATGATTGTTTTTCCTGTTGGTAAAATGCAGTTTGGGCTTTTCTGGCCAATCACTATTCTTTCTGGGCTAATACATGTGTGAGCATGACAAGCATACATGTTTATGTCCTGATAATTGTAACAATCACAATTGTGATAATATTTAGTTCAGCCAATGGAAAAGAAAACAATTATTATCTTTAAAAACATAAATTGGAGGATATAGCTCAACAGGCCAACTCAAGCCCACTTTTTGGAGGTTGCAGGGAAGGTTTAGAACCTCTCTAAAGGTGGGAATACACGATTAGGAAATCGACCGATCGGTCATCCGAGAGACATTCGTTTGTTGGTCAAAATCGTGGCCCACATTAACCAATCTAAAAAAATAGTTCGTCGGGCAATACGTAGTGTTGACTTCTTCCATACAAGTGGAAGTGATGCGGTGTGTGTGTGACCTTGTAGCCACGCCCTTCCGGGCAGAACGAGTGATATACACAACAATTACCAGCAATGAGTATAATATAGTTTATTACATTACCTATATACATAAATAGTGATACATAAAATATAATCTGCAGAATTCTGGCTTCATTATCTCATTAGGCCAATCTACTTTTAACATTTGGATATTTCGTTCGTGTTTACGAAGATTCCTTGGACATAAACATCCGGGTCATCTTCTGTTTCTGCACATGCGTGATAGTGCTTGATTGATTTTTTTAGTACAAACGAAACGACAACATTTTTCACTGTTGTTCAACCAGATTTTTTCGTTCACAATATTGTTATCGGTTAAAACATCCTGCTCATCAACGAAGAGAAAATCGTTCAATCAGTGGTTCCACTAAATTTTTCGGACGATTTTCTTATCATGTGTACAGGGCATAATTATTGCTGCCTGTGTGCCCAGTGGAGATTTCTCTCACTTCCTGTTTGGAATGTGGGTGTCAAACAGAACAGGAAGTATGTAGAAATCTCACCAGTAGGAATATAGACAGGCAGAGGGCTCTAACCCTTGCAGTATCCATTGTAAAGGTTTTGGCTGGTGTTGGGCTTTAAAGTGAACCTGTGCTTTGCCCATGAAGAGTGAACAACTGGTTTATTTAAAGCTTGCCCCTGCAGCATGTCGTACTTACCTTCCCTTTACTCCCCTGCTGTTCTGTTCATCATCAAGAATGAAGTACCAGTAAGTACAGTGATCATGTGACTTACTCCCTTTTTTCTCAAGTGATGATGCTGGTACTTGGTGATTGGTCCAGATGTGTCACATGGGGCAGGAAAACAATCCTCAGCCCTGTATAAGCTCCAACTGGGATTGAATCAGAGATAATGCAGGGATTCTTCTCCATGATCCCGGTGGTAGGGGAGCTAATAGGGAATGAGCTGTATATGATTCTGTTCAACTTGAAAGTGCTAAAATCAAAGTGGCCATAAAAAAAGGCCTCCACGTCACAACCCAACACACTATATCAGGATCAATCTCCTGATCTTTTAATGCACTCAGTGGTTCCTTCAATCTACCTCGATTTCACTACTGGAGGTAGTCAAACTTGGCATGGCTTGCATTGCACGTGGTTGCAGGAGGGTTGTGGTATAGTCCTATTCAGTTGAATGGAATATGCTTGGCACGTGGTACTGCATGCAAAACATGACAAGGTGATCATTTCTGCCACATGTATACATCCCAATCTGCTGCCTTTGTATCTTTAGGGGGGAATGGTAAAAACACAGTTCAACCTTGTGTTTGTATGACCACCCAACTGCAATGTAAGAGGTGGTGTCAAAAAGTTTCGAGACTGGTTTTGTAACATGCCAACAGATGGCAGCACAAAGGTTCATGCACAGTCATAGTTAGCACTGACCCTCATAAGTCAGTGTGTGCCAAAAGACATTGTCCTGTGTACATTGGGAGCTGTGCAACTGGTGCTATTCTGACCACGTGCAATACCACATCTGCTATTTCATCATGGGCAGCAAGTTAGAACAATGAGCAAACGTGAATTTCTATGTGAATAACACCAGTCAGAATAGAACCAGTCGCACAGCTCCCAATGTACACAGGACGATGTCTAACTAACTTATGAATGTCGGTGCCCCCCTCCTGTGACTGTGCTTGCAGCATTGTACTTCCATCTTTTGGCGTGTTCCAAAACTAGTCTCAAAACTTTTTGATACCACTTTGTATACCCATTCGAGCAACAACATGGCTATTGGGGGGACAGTAAAAATGCACCACCCCCTGACCACCAGTGTATAAGGAGCCTTACTTTTTTTATTTCTTTTTTGTAATGCAAGAAGTGAAAGTACCTGACTTTGACTGGTTTTTGGCCTCTTGAAATTCAGGTACAGAAGAGCTGAGGTGTAAAAGGAAGAAGCAGAGGAAAAAGCTATTTGGCCCTTGTTTGAAAAAAACTGGCACTGCAATACACACAAGACCACAATTTCAAAAACAATTTATAATTGCTAAATAATTGTAATAACGTTTTCAGCATAATATGTGTAATATACAAAACAAACCACAATAAAGATGCAAATACTTTACACATTGTGCTTATTGTAGGTTATAGGGTTGAGTGAATCATTCATTAAGGGTTTGGCAAATCATGTTTGAAATTAGGTGAACACACATGAAGTTGTTGACATGATGCATACTGATAGAAAGAGAAAATAAACTGATAGAGAGATAACTCATCGTTTCTCCTTTCACTGTCCAGTCACAGGCTGGGGCGGGTCCAAGACAGCCTGGGCTCAGGGGATTTGGGTTGAATGATACTGGCCATAAGGGCTCAGGACATCTAGTGGCGCAAAAAAGTACTGCCAGGGAAATCTCTAGATTAAAGCTGAATTTTGCAGCCAAAACTGTTATGTTTTAATTTCCCAAATTCATTTTTTCCTGTTATTTTTGGCTGGAGTTCTTCTTTATTTTAACTTACTATATTACGTGCACAAGACCGACACCCAGGCCAACAGTCATTTCACCTCGTACTCTATGTGTCTTATAAGTTTGTGCATTCTACCATCCACTTGTTTCATTTACAGAAAAGCCAGACTAGCAAACTTGAGAACAACTTTTAAAAGCCCAAAGAGCATTAAAGTGCAAAAAAGATCAAACCCCAGAGCTGTGTGAGCTGTAATTCACACCTTTAATTGCCAGCAGTCACCAGAACAAAAAAAAAACATAATGAACAAATGACTGGAAGGCAGTGAGGCTCAGCTGACTGTTAAGTGAGTAAGGATGCTGGCACAGAAACACCATTTTAAGTTCAATGTGTTCAACCGACTATTTAAAAAATCTATTTAAAGGCAACGACCCACCAACACGTTAGAGGCGCAACAGGATAAAATGCAATCTGTCACCAAGCTTTTCACTACACACAACCTTCTGCTCTGCCTTTAAGGCATTTTAGCCCCCAACAGGTAAGATGTGAGGAAGTTATAAGGCAGGGTCGTTAAAAAAAATCACACGTTCCTTTACGACTGTGTACATGTCAAACCTTGTTTCACCCTACAGTAAATGGCACTACACTTACAGACACATCGAGAAAAAAATAAAAGCATAATTCCCGGGGGAAAAGAAAAGTAAAAAATGGACCTTTTTAAACAAATTTGGTACTTTAAGTGCTACTAAACCCAGGACCCTGCATTCACTATATCTGGTCTCCCACAGTACACACAACATGGAAATGCAATTATTTTACAAAATATAAACTGCTAAATACCTTTCCTCATCAGCAGTTAGATCAGTCTTGTGGCTTCTATCAATGTCCAGCAGAGCACTGATTAAAGCTTGTAGGAGGAGTTTTCTTTCTGCTCTAGGAGGATGCAAAACCCCTTACCCTCTGTCTGAACAGTGCTGATTGGCCCTGTGCTGATCACATGCACTCTCCCAAGAAAAAAAAAACTCTCTTGCAATACACACTAAACTGAGCTTGTGCAGAATGGCTACTGTTCAGTCTGTCTTATCAGGAGATTAGACGTCGACAGTTGAACGAGAGAAGGAGCAGAGAAGTCAGGATCAAAAAACCTTTTTACTCAATGTAGAGGATTAACCCCTTAAGTTCCACAGTGAGTATAACAAGCAAGCTTTACTGCTTATAGACTGATTTTACTGTTGTGGGTTTAGTAACACTTTAAGCATACATAAGATCACAGCTTCAACCACAATTTATTGTTTCTAAATAATCGTAATGATGATTTTAATTTAAATGCCTTTTTAACGGGACCATTCAATATGTAATAAACAACATATACCAAAATTTATATGTAAAAACTGTATACATTGTACTTATTGTAATTTATAGTAATGAGTGAATCTGGTCAGTTTCAATTGTAGTGAATTGTGTTCAAAATGTGGTGAACTAGAACTCAGCACCAAATCTCACTGAAGTCTATAGAGGGCAGTCCTGTTTTTAAAGTGAAATTGAAGTTTATTATTATTTTGATAATGTAGCGCTACCCCTGCAGGAGCAACTACATTTGATTGGGTTCCCCCCCCTAAGCTCTGCATGGCCAGACAACACGCATTTCCCACATCTTCAGTAAAAACAGTCCCTGAGCTTTTTTTGTTGCTTTTTATTGAGGGGTTAACAACTTAAATGGGGTCTAGAGGAATATGAAATGTCCAAGGAACTGAAAACATAAGGAGAAGCTTCTTAGCAAACTGTACACTGTACAAAAATGTGGATTAGCAAAAAAAAAGCATTGTCTGTTTAACCTCCCTGGCGGTATTCCCGAGTGTAGCTCAGGGTAAAGTTTCAGTACCAAAAGCGGTAACCCCAAGCTACACTCGGGCTTACCATGCGGCGTTGCTCAGGGATTCCCTGCAGCGCTTACCTTGTCCTTCGCTTCCACGATGTGTCCCCTGCAGTGTCCCCGGCCATCTCCTCCGCCGATGCCGGCATCCGGCTTCCGTGTTCCGGTCCCTGTGACGTCGGGACGTACGGGGGCCGGAACCGGCGGCAAATTTGAAAGTTTTAAAAAATTTCTTTTTTTTAAATGATTATTACATAGTAAAACATTGCTGTTTCAAAGCATTTCACATACATTTTGTCCCTACTGCTTTGTCCTGTGCCCTGCCAGCATTTTGACTGTTCTTTCTGCCTGGAAACTGGGAAAAGTCCATGGCGTCCAAAAAGCTTCCCTTTAGGTCAAAATCGGTTTTAGACCAGCTAGAGAACAGCAATAGTAAATCAGAACCACTTGCAGAATTGAGTGATAATGATTCGTGGGGAAATTCGTCATCAGACACTGAAAATGATTCTTCGACTTTGCACAGCGATGTGCGAACTTGGCACTATATTTAAAATTTCAGTGTTTTTGGTTTGATTATATTATTGAGATAAATTTATTATTATTATATTATTATTTTTTATGATTATTTATTAAATTATAATTTATGATTTCGTGTTTCAAATTTTATCATATCCGGAATGTTTACTAGACTCTTTTTCGGACAGATTTCAGTGAGTTATTCCTAAAAATGACAGGCCTACAATAAAAAAAAAACTACATATTTTCATGCAAAAAAATGGTACCTCTTTCAGCACCAAAAATCTGAAATAATCATACCGCCAGGGAGGTTAAGGAGCACTTAAGTCCCTTTGATGTACCTCTTCAGACCCCAGATAAAGCCTTCCTCCTTTACTTGGCTACACTGAGGGTATCCCCAGGCAAGGGATTTAAAGATCTGCCACTTAAGTAGCACCGGATGAGAACTAGTTGGGTCTTGCACCTGACTGTCCTCTCCCTTTATCTGGCCCAGGGGGTGTAAGAATACTCACACTGTCCTGTCCTGTTAGCTTGGTGGGTTAGTAGCTGCTTTCAGGCCTTACACTGGGCTGGTTCCTTCGCTGCCAACAGAACTGTCCTCCCAAGGAGACTTGGCACAGTGGAGATTCTTCTGTCCAGCAACTAGGCTGTAGGCAGGCTCCCCTCCCTGGGGCCCCCTCAGAGGCTCCACTCTCCAGCACTTTCCTTCAATCCATCTTCCACCCGACTCCCCTGCTGCACAGCATCTATCATATTTAAAGGTTGCCTTTGGCCACCATACCCAGCCTCAGGGGCGGACTGACCATTCGAGCACTCGGGAACTGCCCGAGGACCGGGGTCAGTAGGAAGCCCCATGAGATGCTCCTGGTACCTTTCATTGGCTTTTTCATAGGCTTTTTTGGGTGTGGGCAAGGATGCAGGAGCCCCATGATCCCCTATTGCCGGGGGCCCCATGAGTTGTCAGTCTGCCCCTGCCCAGTCTTCTACCTGAGGATTGGCCAAGTTCCCATAAACATGCAAATCTGGGCCTCTTACCCTTCCCCGCCCCTCTTCTAGTTAATGCATATCTTAAACCAAGAAAAAATATTAGATATATTGCTGTCCTTCAATGTGGTGGCTATATTAGTTTTTTCATGTACTGTATATTTATCTCCACTTTCATCTGGTGATCCTGCCAGTAACAAACTTCCTGTCCTTGAGTGACAATGCACCACACTGTACTGTATGTATGGAGGAGCGGCATGGTCATCCTTGGCTGCTTTGCTGATTTGGACAAGTACAACCACAATTCCATAAAAGTTGGGACACGGTATAAAATCTACCTAAAACAGAATGCAATGATTTACAAATCTCATAAACCCATATTTTATTTACAATAGAAATTAGTACACATCAAATGTTTAAACTGAAAAATGTACTATTTTAGAAAAAAAAAAAATAAGGTTATTTTGAAATTGATGGCAGCAACACGTCTCAAAAAAGTTGAGGAAAGGCCATGTTTACCACAATGTAGCATCCCGCCTTTTTTTAACAACACTGTAAACATCTGTGAACTGAGAAGACCAGTTGTTGGAGTTTTGGAAGAGGAATGTTGCCCCATTCTTGCCTGATATAGGATTCTAACTGCTCAACAATCCTCAATTGATCCACCATCTATTTAATATATGCAATGTTATTACAGTATAATAAATTATATCATATTATTCAGGCAATAATCTTTTTAATGGATTATCATAGACATGAAAACTGCTAAAAATGATATAACCTGATCATAATTTAATAATATTCTTCACAGTTACCTCTGATGATACAGTGCATATGTGATTGGGAGGGGGGGACCAGTGGGGTATTTAGGTTTTGCGCTGCCCTAGGCAACACAAAAATCGTCTGCCCCCACCAACACCTCCCCTCCCCCTCCCGCAGGGAGAAGCTGACATTGACCAACAGCACCCCTGCCCCCCACCTGGGAGAGCCTTCCACTACCCCCCCTGGCGAAAGAGAAAAAGACACTCATCTTCACAGCTCTGGACATCTCCAGGAACAAGAGTCAGGCTCTACATACACCATCAAGCATCCTGCAGCCTCTGTGGGATCCCACCTGGTTCATATGGCATGCATGTCCCTTCTTTCATCCCTTTTTCTGGGGGGAGAAGTGCTGCTCCCCTGAAAAATGCTGCCCTAGGCAAGTGCCTTTTTTGCCTTGTGGTAAATACACCGCGGGGGGGGACTACAAATTCTGCAGCGAGGTAAAATAATAGATGTGATTTTTCAGGATCTTCAGGTCTGGTCAGGGAGAACCAAAAGTTCCAGCAGTAATAGAAACAATAGCCAGTAGAATAGATGCAATTATTGATTTTACTTTGAGTCAGGGAGAGGAATAGCCAATAATCAGGGGTTCATGTAGCATCATATTTTGGTTTTATACCAAGCCAATGCACAGAAGACAATTATTTCCTGATATCAAACCATCTAAATACCCATCTGCATAGGTTCATATATATGGTTCACAGTTTCTTAACACAGTGATGCCCACAATCTGTAAAGTAACATTCTCAAGCACAGTTACGTGAGCTGATACTATGTTAATCTATGCTTTGTTTTAGAACTAGGTGTACATCTGTTCATGTTCCTAGTTCTGAGAGCCTGTAGTCACTGACAAACCCTCGTGTACCCTGATAATTGAAAATCAAATCGTGTGGCTTCTGATCATGTGTCCACTCTCACAGCCAATCATGGTACTCACATGAGGCTTGCCTGCATGCTAACCTGCTAGCTGCAGCTTTCACTGTGCCTATAGCCAGCAGGTAGACGGCACTCCTAGGCAGCCGTTTGATGTGTTGGATCCCCTGTTCCTGTGCCCATGACTCCGCGAACAGCACCACGCACGCTGACCTGGCTGAGTGGGAAATGTTTATGCCAGATATCTGTACATATACCCCAATGGCTCAAGGTGCATAGACACCCAAAAAGGCCCAGTAACTGGGTAAGTAAGAGCAAACAAGTATATTGCAACAGGATAAACAAACAAGAAATCTACTGTAATAAATAAACAGTAAGATAATTCTACTGCAATGTGTAAACAGTGTACATTAATAACATTAATTAAGCAATAGCAGCAATTTGCACCTAACTAAGGCAGGAGGAGAGATGTATATGCCACAATAACAGTTCAGCAGTCAGTAGTATGTTTCCCTATTTATTTTGCTGACCAGCTCGTTGGGGCCCAACCATTATGGTGGAGCGCTCATGGTAACGTTTCTTTAAGAACTGTTGCTGGCACTGCCACTGTGTTCCTTACAGACAACTCTGTCTCTCTTTTATCAATATGTAATACAGGGTCGGCCAGCAGACTCTCACCACTCTGTTTCAGCAGGGGAATCTCCTTCTGCTCACTGTACCCCATTCAGTGTCCTCGGCGTCTGGCTCCTCACTCAGGCAGCAGGCTCAACCAGCAGTCAGGATGGCCTCTGATGTTCTGGAATGGCAGTCACTATGTCCCTCTTTTACTCAGGTGCAGTGGTCTCCCTCCAGCCTCAGTTTTATTTGCAAGATATCTCTCCTCTGACATGTGGTCTCTGACAAGTACAATAGTTCAGTCTCTATCTAGAGGACACAGGGAGCACTGCCAGTTAGCAGCATCACCAGCTTCAGCACACCAGCAGCTTTCCCTTCTCTCTCTCCATGTGAGACTTGGCAGGAAACAGCAGTAACACGCTAATACGTTTTGGACGAAGCCTTTCTCATAGCATGCTATAAGTAAGTCCTCTGCCAAATCGCATTAGCATGTTACTGCTGTATACTGCCATGTAGCCAATAAAGAATTGTTGCAATGGCTATTACAGAGTAGCCAGCTTGATTGTATTAGAGGATTATTGCTACAATTCAAAAGGCAAGTGGGCCAGAGCTCCAGATTTCAGTCTCCCAGGTAATCCACAACTTTCTCATAGATTAAAAAGGTACTTCACCGAGGAATGGTAAAAAGTCAGGAGCTGCATGTGCCATAGCTGCTGACCTTTAAGGAACACCTACCAGTCCATGCAGCCCAGCATTCATTTGTACACAGCTATTGCTTCTCAGGTTACCTGTTTCCCCCATGTCACCATCTTAGTTTCAGGAGTTGGCTATCTCTCTCCAAAGGACTTATAGTAGGCTCCCTACTGCCCATTTGTGAGACATAGCCTGCTGTAGGACTAGTCCTGCAACCTCTTTGGATCTTTAATGCTATCTCAGGAGGTTGACGGCGCCATGCCAAAGAACAAGCAAGTGGTAGCAGATACCACCAAAAAAGGTACTTGCTCTCTGAAAAAAAAATCTGTAATTTCTTAACAGGCTGAATTAGTAGAAATTGAATAGGGTAACTGTAATTTTCAAGTGAAGGTTTGCTTTAATTATCATTCTTCCAAATTGTCCAAAGTAAGGAAGGGAAATTGCATGGTCAGCTCCTTCAAGAGATGAAAACCTGTACACTCTGTAAAGCATTGTGTAACACGGTACTATATAAATATTGGAAATAAATGAATGTTTTGTTGTGGGAAGTGTATTCACATATCGCACCACTTTCACAATCCTTGGATTTTGCTTGGTTGCAGATCGTAAATGTTATCAAGCATAGGTCAGGCCTATGTAAATGTCAAACTTCTCATGTAATCCTTACCTTTCTACAATGTATGCAAGAAATCCAACAGAAAGCACTGAGTTCTGAGCTGAAAATTTAATAAAAATCAGGTCTACATGGAGGTATTTCCCAACAATCAAGGCCAGATTTATACATTTGCCCCCCCAAGACCAACCATTAGGACTGTCACCCTTCTACCCTAGTCCTACTCTGCCTTAGTACACCCAAAAACTATATTAACATTATTTTTCCAACCCCACACACAAACTGTAGGTCCTCTATTGACTACACAGTGGTACTGAAAACTGTACTTAAACAATATGTTGGAAAATCAGGCTACCACAATGTTCATATACTAAGGTTTTGAGTGACTGACATGTATGATGTGAGTAAGAAAACAGAAATGGTCAAACACAGCTCTTAGATCTCTGACTTCTTTCCCATTGGGATCTATGGCATGCACAATAACGGACTGGAAGCATTGTTTAAATTGTAAAAATGAACTAATATGTTTACATTTCCCTTGGGCCCACCTTATGATGAATTAGTGCCGGAAACCACGTGTTTTCCAAAACTGCACTACTTTATTTCATTTTATTAACAAAGTGAGAGTATTCTTTGTCTACTTATAAGGTCATCCTAGCGCCCACCTCTGTTTACTTCTCCAGTTTTCAGTAAAAAACAATCTGATCGGAGATGTAAATGGCTTTGAATCATTCAAGTACTGGAAAATCCCATCCATTTGAGTCAATTTAAAGAGTATTGAATTTAATACAGTCATTTTGAGAGCTCACATGTGGCCAGTCTAATCCACAGCCTTTGCTAATCATGACCATTACCCTGTAAATGGAATACACTAGCTCTCGGTAGAACAGCCTCCTTTAATAAACATCTGTCCTGGATTCTTAAAAGCCCTAAAACAGCCTTTTAAAGGACTACTAAACATAAATTACATAATTTGTATAAATGAGGTCATGTCAAAAACAAATAAAGGAAACGTATAGTAGTTTTGTACATACAGTATATTCTTTTGTTAGCGCAGGCCTTGCACTGGAAATACAAGGTCAATGTTTTTTTTTTTTTCTCTCTTTTTTTTCACGACCACCCCCCATGCTGAAAAAACTGTAGCACAAAAAAAATAAATAAAAAGTTAGACAATATATTTAACTTATCCTGGCTTCTGTTGGTGGGGCTTAGGCAAGGCTAATGTCACCATACAGTGCATTCTGGGAGAGATCCCAGGTATTGCTGAGTACCCGAGATCTCACAAGGCTGCAGGAGGTGCTGGAATGTCATTAAACAGTGCTTGGAATCTGGTTGAAAAGGATGGAGACATTACTACTTTCCCCAGACCTTGCTTGGAAGAGCAAGACTTGCTTTATTATGATTAGTCAGTAAAGTAAATCTTTAGAAATAATTTTTCTCTTATTTAAAGTCAAGTGAATATGAAATATTGAAGATTAAAATTTTGTATTTTTAGCCAGATGGTGACATTCTCTCCTCATTTATGCATTATTATCTCATTACAGTCCAATAGCTCAAGTTGATATTAAAGTGTTACTAAACCCACAACAGTAAGCATGCTTGTTATACTCACTGTGGAACATAAGGGGTTAATCCTACGCATTATGTAAAAAAGGCTGTTTGATCCTGTCTTCTCTGATCCTTCCCTTCTTCCACAGTTCCCAATCCATCTGCTGATAGTACAGAGCTCTACACTCTGCAAATTATTATTATTATATAGGATTTATATAGCGCCAACAGTTTGTGCAGCAATTTACAAAATGAACATGCTCATTTTGGTGTGTATTACTAGAGAGGTTTTTGAATGTGCGCTGGAAGTCTTCTGTAGGTATCCGAGGTTTTTTTTTGCCTCCATTCACAAGAAACTTCATCACCACACGCTGTTCCGTGCACGAACTAACATGTATGCCATCTTGATTATAGGTCTCTGGATTGGTTCACGACATGTGCGTTGCCTATCAGTAATAGGACACACATGCCACTCACTACTGTGTGTAGTACCGCCACGCTAGCATCCTTTTTTATACCTGTAAAATTTAAAGTCCCAGTTTGACTTGAATGCCCCACGTAGTAAGTGACTGTTTTTTGGGTATTATTATTATACAGGATTTATATAGCGCCAACAGTTTGCTCAGCACTTTACAATATAACGGGAGACAATACAGCAACAATACAGTTCAATACAAGAGGGTTAGGAGGGCCTGATCCTGGGAGCTTACAATCTAAAGAGTATGAACCACATGCTGGGTATGAACCACATTTAGAGGAGTTTTTTTCATTAAAGCTGAAATCCAAGACGATATAAAAACATAAATTGATACAGGTATATATGCAATAAAAGTAAATTTCATTCTGTTTTTTAACTTCCCTGGTGGTATTCCCGAGTGTAGCTCGGGGTGAAATTTCAGTACCAAAAGTGGTATCCCCCCGAGCTATACACTCGGGCTTACCCTGCGGCATTGCTCAGGGATTCCTTGCAGCACTTACCTTGTCCTTCCCTCCCGCGATGTCCCTCCTGCAGCGTCCCCGGCCATTTCCTCCGGCTGATGCCGGCATCTGGCTTCTGTGTTCCAGTCCCTGTGACGTCGGGACGTACGGGGGCCGGAACCGGCGGCAAATTTAAAAATTTTAAAAACAAATTTTTTTTTTAAATGAATATTACATAGCAAAACATTGCTGTTTCAAAGCATTTCACATACATTTTGTCCCTAGTGCTTTGTCCTGTGCCCTGCCTGCATTTTGACTGTTCTTTCTGCCTGGAAACTTAGAAAAGTCCATGGCGTCCAAAAAGCGTCCTTTTAGGTCAAAAGCGGTTTTAGACCAGCTAGAGAACAGCGATAGTAAATCAGAACCACTTGCAGAATTGAGTGATAATGATTTGTAGTAAACTTCGTCATCAGACACTGAAATCGATTTTTCGACTTTGCTCAGTGATGTGCGAACTTGGCGCTATATTTCAAATTTCAGTGTTTTTGGTTTGATTATATTATTGAATAAAATTTATTATTATTATATTTATAGATGAGCGAATCGAACCAGGCGAACCGGAATTCGAGTCGAATTTCAGGAAATATTCGATTCGCGGCGAAACCGAAATTTTGCCTACTTCTTCGGGGGACTGCGCGAATCGAACATTTCCCGATCAGCCGGCAAAAGTGTCCCTGCAGTGAGCTCCGCTATTTCTGACAGTTCTCTGACAGAAGGAACACATGTTTAGCGGTTGAAACATTGTAT